CCCACAGCCAACGGAACACGAGCACAGCCCGCTGCCAACAAACAAATATCGCACACGAGCAAGCAATCACCCAAAGAGCCACACGCGGAAGCGGATCCTCATCAACCCATGACGCGACGTCTCACTCCATGCGGTCACACGGAGTGCACTGTTTCCTCAATAGACCTTATCCTTCGTCCATCCCTTGAAGATGCTTCTGTTAGTGATGGACCTTAGAGCACAATAGAAGAAAATGGACAATGCAGTAGCACCGTGACACCGCCAGCCACAATGATTCCCTCATACCGGGGCAATTTTCCAATTATGCCTCGCATGCACACACACAATAAACATACTATATAAAGATCACCCAATATTTTTCACCAGAAAACAAACAACCCCACTCCCTCCCTAATTTTCTTCTGTCACTGTTATGTTCGATAGTGTTGGACATTTTTGGCATTTGTATGCTATGCCACCGCCTGATGCTGGTGCACCCGCACCGCATGCACACACACACAAGTATCCAAAAATATATAAATCCCACAATATTTTTTCACCAAAAGTCAAAACTGCCCCCTTCATTCCCTAATTCGTTCTCCTATTTCGTTTTTCCTCACCTCAGAGAGCTTCGCCTCTTCTGGCGTCAGCGGATGATATTACTGCTAGGTACTGGTGCACCTCTTCCTCCCAGAACGCCACAATCTCTCGGTTTTCCTTCTTGCTCACATTATCGGAATTGACGACATCACATCTCTGCCAGTCATTCATCGGCGTGCTGTCTGCGTGCTGTACATAAATCGTCTCCCACGACATGTCTCGAGATAACTCCTCCCAGCCATTAAAATATGCCGCCAGGCACTCAGTGAACTGCCGCACAGTGCTGGCGGTGGTGTGGTGCTCACCCGCCGTAGCCATCCGCAGCCCAACCAGCGTCACTGGATTTGAATTCACGAAAAAGAAGGCGTCCAACAGCGGAAAGTCCTCCACCTCCGGTATGTACAACACACAGCAATCTACGCCAACCTTCTCAGAAAAGTAATGCGGTGGCGGTAAGACATGGTGCCTGGTGGGGCGCTCCTGTGAGTACACCTCCAGCGCACTGCGGTGTGGCTGACGTCGTGCTGCTCGCTTCAGCTCCCTCACTTTGTGTCGTATTGCAGTTATGAAGTCCGCATCCAAAAATGCAAACACGGTACACCGTTCCACATTTTTTGATACAAGATTATGCCTGAGTCTCAATGAGTGAATGAAAATCATCCTGCTGCATTAACTTTGCCAACATGCACAATGTTTTGTTACAGAAATGGTCAGATATCGGCAAATTCAAAGAAAATCCACCCTTGCAAACTTCCTCTCGTATTCGTGCAACCTTCGCAAGCCAGTGGAACACGCTATTACCACCCCACATCGCAGAATTCCCCAAGCCAGTGTAATACTGAGTTTCCGGGGAAATCGTCTCTTCCACGGTTTCGTGACACTTCTCAATCCGATCATCATATGATTGCTCATCAAGGATGTGGCGAAGAATAGGTCCCACTTTATCCATGCGACCCCTCACCTCTCGCCAGTATTCCGCTTGCTGCTGCGGAGGCTTACTGCGTTGTTCCCAAACGCGCATTCCCCTCACATCGCTCTCGTCAGGACAATTCATTACGATTTGTAAGGGTAAGTTTTGACAAGCCCACAACTCGTATCTATTCTCGTTTGGTGATGTTACCGCAATCATGCCCCATCTGTTGCAAGGCAAACCAACAGACGGACGATACACCTCCTCTGCCACGTCGTAGATAATATACCCCTTCACCCCGCTCCAAGATAGCCTGTCCACAACATCGAGGGCACTGCCCTTACCCAAGTATGCTGACAACTTTTTGGTGGTCTTGTCAAACAGGAATGCTCAATTACAAATAAAGCACGCAACCGCAGGGAGTCGCTCCGCATCGTAGTGCAGCAGCTGGTAGAGGAGGTACGAACCGGCAGCCATCGACTTCCCGATACCGGGCGTCCCAATCAACACAAACGGATCAGGCTTAAAGTCGGTCCCACCGTGACCGCTGGACCATTTGTTAACGCCCTTGACAATCTGCCACGCGCGTCTCACCTCGCAGTTCACATAGCAGTCACGATTGAATTCACACGCACCCCACGAGTACGGCCATGCCTTGTCCGAGGCGAGCACCATCAGCCTGGGACGCGGCCATGCACCGCCCGCTCCATTTTCCCACCACTCAAGTGTTGCGTGCCCGCACAAAGCAGCAAACAGAACCAGAGTGCACACAAACCCAATCATCCCCCTCACTCGCTAAACCAAATTATTCGCATGGAGTGACAACATTTGAGGACACACCAGCAGTAGCAGGCTGCATGGAATGTCCCTGACAACCCTGCAAAGAGACACAACAACTCTACCGAATCAAAGTGGCAGCCCCTCGATGTTGCCCGCAGTTCACATGGCAGGAAGAATTCCACGCACGCATAGTTCCGGATCCCGCACTGTTTGAGTGCACATCAACAGAACAAGTAAAAAAAATACGTACGCGCAAGACGGCGGTTAAATACACGAATGTTTCAGCCTGTTTTGTTCGATGGCGTTGGCGAGCAGTCCCACACAATCCAGTCAAAGTGACACGCCGGACAGAATGGCTTCAGTTAATAAATAAAAACAATTGCGCCAATGCAAAAAGCAGCAGGGATTTGGGTTTTGCTTCCGAATTCGGGGCGACAGTGGCAGAGAGTGTGTATGTGTGCAAGACCCTTCGTGGGACGGTGCTGTCCAATCCCGCCGTGCCCTGACACAAAAGGGCAACAAATGAAAAAAATAGGAGCACACTCTCCAGAAAAGGAGTGACGGTTGGGCAGTCAACCCCCGTTCCTTCTCACGTGACATCCACATATGTGCACCCCACCTCAAATGCGTACCTCCCTGAACGCCGCATGCATGAAGTGTGGTTTCGTCACTCGCAACGTGTTTTTCCTCCCGCAAGCAACAAGAGGATGGCCATGGCACAGCTTCGCTCAGGGAAGCAATCGGAACAGACACGAGTGGGGCCAGGGATCATACAAAAAATATATATCTAAAAAGGGGGCAATAACTCCTCCAAGCCACTGAATCGTGCAGTGTCCATCCCTCTTCCTCTGAATTGAAGACCTCCTCAACAGAGCAAATGCAACAGACACATGTGCAGCACAATATCTTTCGCTATCCCGCGTCCAATCTTACCTCCCATGCGTGCCACGGCGGTGGTGCCGGCGTTACATCTGGGATGACTCCAAAATATCAAACGCCATGCTGTGGAGAGTGGATGCTTGACAAACGTGCCCGCGTCAGCGTATAACACGAAATGGCACCAAAAATAAAAAACTATTCGCGACTCAACCTACCTGTGTGTGACCGCAACAAAGCAACACTGAGACATGTGTGGAGCAACGCAAAAAAGAAAAAAAAAAGAGATAAGAAAATAATAATGGAATAATCCACAGAAACATATCAATATATAAACGCACAAAAAATACATCAACCCGCATAATCTTTCCGTTCATTTTTCTTCTTTTCTCATTTGATACAACAACAATAACTAACGAGAAAAACAAGCATGCCCTCCCACACAGTCCTCGTGGAACAGGAGACAGTCGTTGCAGGCACAACAACACAAAAAATAGAAACAGTGCACAGAAAAAACAGCGGCAATGCCGTTGCGGAGTCCGATGGGTGGCTGTGGTGCGCTGCAGCCGCGGCCCCACGCCCTCCCTCAGCGACCAGCAACGCACAACTGTCCCTTCCGCGTGGCACACGTCACAAAAGAGCCTTGTTGTTTTTTATCCCTATTGTTTTCTCAATTGAATCCTATGTCCCGCACAACAGCTTCTATAGGAGAACACATCAGCCCCGCTGAGTGGAGGCGTGAAGGAAAGCCCCGACACCCGGAGAGGGAGCTGCAGCGGAGGGCGTGCAACACATACCCGTTAGGCATCCTCCCCGCGCTGGCGCGTTGGCTAAATAATTCACTGTTGCCGGAAATCGGTAAAACAACACATCAATAAATCAACAAAAAAACTGATCTATAAATAACAAAAATGGAGGGCACCTTCCAGCAGCATCGAAGTTGTGCCGCATATGCGAAAAGCCATGTGCCTTCTTGCCGCGCGAAGGTACTGTTGGGGGCAGAGCTTTTCCACCTCGAAAAGATGAAACTATGTCAGCCTTTTCGTGAGGCACACACTCCCCACTCCCCCTGCGTCCACACCATGGTTTTTGTTTTTTCTAATTGCCGGAAAAGCCGAGCAACGGAGTAGGTGCATGCTTGTCTCTTCGCGCTGCCCACGTCGGCTGGGTTCCACAATGTTCGGTCGCTACCAGTGGCATGCCGTGCGGTGGCGATTCCGTCCATCATTGTTGTGGCACTGAAAACCGCGTGTTGGACGGT